ATCTGCTTTCCTGATATTGTTCTTAAAGCTTTGAATAGAAGGTAGAGTTCTTAATTCTGGTAAAAGTTTGTCCCATAAATATGGACCGAAGTATCGTAAGGAATGTCTGCCATATTTGACCCCATTAAATCTAGGGCGACGAAAGTCAGAGTTCCTAAGATTATAAGTTGACTGAGTACTTTCAAATAAATCTAGAATATTATTTGGTAACAGTTTATGTTTAATTTTATACATAAAAATTGCTATATTTTGCAACCGAATATTATATAATGTGGTCATATTAGCCTTCGTTAATAGCTCTGCGTAAGAGGAACCCCAGTCGCAAAAAAACTGCTCCTAGCCCTCTTTCATTAGTTCGCTCTAGTTTATTCTTATCACTTCCCTTACAAAAATGCCAGACAAGACTACAGTAATTGAAGTAGAGCATAATAGCTGCTTTATATATTTGTAGTTTTGCTGTGGTTGGTATCAGCTTCCGAAGCCTCATCAATACTCCAATTCTCTTGCTGGTTGTCTTACAAATAGAAGACACATGTTCTGAGAAGTTTAGATCTTTATCCAAAGTTACTCCAAGAAGCTTCATCTGTTCCGTCTGACGTATTGTATTGTTATCGATATTCACGTCTGTAATATTGCCATTACCTTTGGTCATCATCATAATCTGGTATTTACTAAGGTTGGCTTCCAAATGGTTTATCTTATACCATTCCCCGTAATTCTTCCATCCATTTCCAGCACCATTGATGCCTCTGCGATTGTTTGATTTAAAGAATAGAGTTAGTGATCATCTGCATACATTGAGAGTTGTGAGCTAATATTCTCATAGAATAGATCGTTTTGATATATATATTCCACAAAACTGGTCCCAAAGAGGAACCCTGTGGGCAACCACGAGTAACAGTTTTCCAATCGCTGCTAACATTATTGCTAAGTCTTACCCTGTTTTTACGGTCCTTAAAGTATGATTCTAGGATTGCCAAGGAACTATTTGACATACCATATGCTTGAAGTTTGGAGAGCAGCAATGGTGGATACATGGAATCAAAAGCTTTACTCATATCTGATGATAATACTCCTACGGCTTTATTATGATCGAGTGCATGTTTCCAGTCCTCCACCAGACGAATTAGAGTGGTCTCGCAACTATACGATTTCCTATACGCGGACATAAAATCATCAAAAATCTTATCTGTTAATTCACATAGTTGCTTGCACAGAAGCTGTTCGAACACTTTATCAACAGCGATCAATATAGTAACCGGTCTGTAGTTTTCCTTCGATAAGTGATCATCTTTTTTATGTATTGGAATCCATTCTCCCCATTTCCAATCCGCAGGCCAAACTCCGTGTGCAAGTACCTGATTGTAGATGGTAGTGAGCGAGCCAGATATCTCCTCTGCAGTAATTCTCAGCGCCTTGGGAGGTAGGAAGTCATGACCAGTAGCCTTGTTGGGGTTTAGTTGCTGCAATGCTGTCAAAACCTCTGTCTGTGTGATTTCTCTGAAACTAAACGAATTTTGTGACCATTTTTGATGGATTTTCTTAACACTACTATGGTTCTTAATGCTGAGGTTTCAAGAATCAATATGTATGTCTCCTATTTTATCCGCGATAGTGGAAAAATAGTTTGCCAATACTTGCGCAACTTCACGTTGGTCATGCTCGATTTTGTCATCGACTTGCAAGGATATAGTCGTGTTCTCTTTTCCTTTATTTCTAATGAAAGGGGCAAATGCATTGAAAAAGTTTCTGGGATTGGTTTTAAGATCTTCTGCTTTCTCTCTCCAGTATTTCCTGATTGCCCTCCTTCTAATTCGTGTAGCTGCATTTCTCCACTTCCTCAATTCTGCCAAACTTTCCTCAGTTTGCAATTTCTTATGTCTCTTGGCAAATTTACGTTTCTTCCTAATTGCTTGTTTCCATTCAGCAGTAATATATGGTACGTCTTTTGCTCTTACCCTCATGCTTTTAAGAGGCATATGTTTATCAAGCACGTTATTTACCTCAGTGTTCCACCGTTTACATTGCTCATCAACTGGTAGTGTATTATCAGAATTAAGTGCACGCATAGCCTCCTCCATATCTTTCTTCATTTCCAACTCATTCATCTTTACTGCCCTTCTAAATGAAATTATTTTCATAGGATATCGTTTCACTTTTGGTTTAAGGAACCCATAAATCAGTGTGTGATCACTGAGTCCTAAATCAATTACTCCAGAATGGTCAAACATATCGGCCTTATTTGTAAGGATAACATCAAGTAGAGTACTTGTGGTGGGTGTAATTCGTGTGGGTTCTTGTATCAGGCAAGTGAAATCAAATATATCTTCTATATCTTGAAGTATCTTTCCTTCTCTGCTATTTAGCTTAAGTCTGTCAAGATTAAGGTCCCCCAAAATTATAACTGACTCTCTCTGCGAAAACACCCACGAGCATAGGCGAAATAAATCATCCTGCAACATAGTGTAATTAACACTTCTAGGGGGTCTATATAGGATGGTTGTCCAATACAGCAGCATTTCACGACTCGTTACAACTTGTAAGGAATATTTCACGAGTCGTGGAGGACTTAAGACTGCACCCAGCCAAGTGGTGAACTTCACGAAATTGGTACGACTCGTTAAATCCGTGAAATATCACGACTCGTGACAACTTGTAAGGAATGTTTCACGAGTCGTGAAGGACTTAAGACTGCACCCAGCCAAGTGGTGAACGTCACGAAATTGGTACGACTAGCCTCGTTAAATCCGTGAAATTTCACGACTCGTGACAACTTGTAAGGAATGTTTCACGAGTGGTGAAGGACTTAAGAGTACACCCAGCCAAGTGGTGAACCTGACGAAATTCGTACGACTCGTTAAATCCGTGAAATTTCACGACTCGTTACAACTTGTAATGAATGTTTCACGAGTGGTGAAGGACTTAAGAGTGCACCCAGCCAAGTGGTGAACCTGACGAAATTCGTACGATTCGTTAAATCCGTGAAATTTCACGACTCGTGACAACTTGTGAGGAATATTTCACGAGTCGTGGAGGACTTAAGAGTGCACCAGCCAAGTGGTGAACCTCACGAAATTCGTACGACTCGTTAAATCCGTGAAATTTCACGACTCGTTACAACTTGTAATGAATGTTTCACGAGTGGTGAAGGACTTAAGAGTGCAGGAGCCAAGTGGTGAACTTCACGAAATTCGTACGACTTGTTAAATCCGTGAAATATCACGACTCGTTACAACTTGTAATGAAGGTTTCACGAGTCGTGAAGGACTTAAGAGTGCACCCAGCCAAGTGGCGAGCTTCACGAAATTCGTACGACTAGTTAAATCCGTGAAATTTCACGACTCGTTACAACTTGTAAGGAATGTTTCACGAGTGGTGAAGGACTTAAGAGTGCACCCAGCCAAGTGGTGAACCTCACGAAATTCGTACGACTCGTTAAATCCGTGAAATTTCACGACTCGTGACAACTTGTGAGGAATATTTCACGAGTCGTGGAGGACTTAAGAGTGTACCAGCCAAGTGGTGAACCTCACGAAATTCGTACGACTCGTGAAATCCGTGAAATTTCACGACTCGTTACAACTTGTAATGAATGTTTCACAAGTCGTGAAGGACTTAAGAGTGCACCAGCCAAGTGGTGAACTTCACGAAATTCGTACGACTCGTTAAATCCGTGAAATTTCACGACTCGTGACAACTTGTGAGGAATAATTCACGAGTCGTGGAGGACTTAAGAGTGCACCAGCCAAGTGGTGAACCTCACGAAATTCGTACGACTCGTTAAATCCGTGAAATTTCACGACTCGTGACAACTTGTAATGAATGTTTCACGAGTGGTGAAGGACTTAAGAGTACACCCAGCCAAGTGGTGAACCTGACGAAATTCGTACGACTCGTTAAATCCGTGAAATTTCACGACTCGTGACAACTTGTGAGGAATAATTCACGAGTCGTGGAGGACTTAAAAGTGCACCAGCCAAGTGGTGAACCTCACGAAATTCGTACGACTCGTTAAATCCGTGAAATTTCACGACTCGTGATAACTTGTAATGAATGTTTCACGAGTCGTGAAGGACTTAAGAGTGCACCCAGCCAAGTGGTGAACCTGACGAAATTCGTACGACTCGTTAAATCCGTGAAATTTCACGACTCGTGACAACTTGTAATGAATGTTTCACAAGTCGTGAAGGACTTAAGAGTGCACCCAGCCA